TGCACAAAATCCGGCCACAACCTTTATAAACTCGAGGAGCTGGGAAGGAAGAGGTTGGAAGGGAATATGGATGCCTCACTTCAGTTAGCATAGTTTCTATAACTTTGAGTACAATTAGAAAAGCAGAAATCTCTAAAACTTAAAGACTGGGTGTACTTTATCCAAGCCAGACTTTGTTCTGCGTTTCCAAGCAAAAAACGGCATTCTAAACCGTTTCTAAAGCAAAGCTCCCAAAGCTTGGCTTAAGACATCAGTGGAGGTATGATAGTTACCTTAGTTACCTATCTAGGTTGTAGTGTTCTTACTTTCTTCAGGGACTGTGCTGAATGACATATGCAGTAGCTACAAATATTACGAGCAAAGCAAAACAAAGGTATATAAGTCTGCTTCCTCAATGACCCATGCATGGGAGAAAGACTAGAGAAGTAATATGTGGGGGGAGGAAAAACCATGGCTGGTTACTTTTTCTTGCACTTTCTGTCAGAGGCACAAGTTAAATCTTTCCAGCTAGGCAGGAAGCCCCTACTCCTCTAACCATATCCTACAACTGCGGAGTTGTCCCTACAGATGAATGCAATTCCCATTTTGCTGCCTCTTCAGAACATCTTTTCAAACAAAATGCTTTCCTTTGTTTTGCTTAACACAGAGAATCTATTCTACAAAATGCAGAAAACTGTCAGATTTCGAAGAACTGCTCCCCTTCATCTTCACAGTTGTAAGAAGTCTGAAATTAGCATTTTAAAGCTTTTCAATTGGGCTTTTTCTTTGCTTTACTTATTCTACTTTCATCTTTTCCATTTGTTGAAAGATAGATATCCTATTGTACAATTTGTTACATGTGCTTGAAGAAGAGGAGGAAAACACCATAGGAAAAAAAAATATGGATTCATACTCTTATCCTACTAGACATATCGCTAGTATGACAAATTAACATGCCTGACAGAAATACAGATTTGTAAGCTTGCAGGACTTGTTTTGCTAAATTAAAAATATTAAAAATTATATATATTTATTGCTAGCTAGTCTTGTTTCTGTGCATCACGCTCATTCCCTCTCTATTCAGTTCCTGTAAACAAGTGACCAACAGGCAATATTTCAAGGAAATACTGAAGCAAGGCTTTGAGACTTCTCTCAAGTTAATTGCAACTGCCATTAAGCTGCCACATAAGTGAAAGCGCAACATATGAAACCCAGTTCTGGAACTACTCCTCCTTCAGTAAATTCTGATTAAAACACCTTGATAATAAGTTCTCCATCTGAAATCCCAGGCAGGTTGAAGTGCTCCATCCTGCGTCAGTCTCTGTATTTCTGTCCTTCATATTCAGAAAGTTAGGGACCAACCTCAGCCATCTTTAAATTCATATTTCAAAAGTGCAACAGGATGTGTGTGATCTTGTTTTATAATCAGATAAAAGATAAGCCTGGAATGAGAATTACACTTACTTTAGATCAGATTTCATACAGACTTTCAAACCTTAATCTTTTGTCCTAGTAAGACAGAAATTTAGCAGCTGCCTAAGTCTAAGAGGTGCCAAAGCTCATTATACACTTTTTTGGTTTTATTATTTAAATCTGAAGTTTCCCTAGCTGTTTGCAGATCTGCTTCTCATCACTATTAACCCAGACCCGAAACCAGACCAGTGAGACATAGCTTGCAGGCATCACTGACCTCACCAAGCTTCAGCATACAACACTGCAACTCATTCAAGCACATGTGATTCCAGCTCCCCAGGTTTTACAAAACTGCTCAAAGACAAGTCACATGGATTCTCTAAAAATGCTAGCAGTGAGTCTGAGAGTCTAACTGTCCTTCTCCTGCCTGAGGCCTGATGCTCTACACTGGATGTTAAGAATTGCCTTAAGTTTTGCAATTCCAGCTGCTCACTGGAACACTTTCAACAAAAGTCATGGAAAAATGCCCCACAGGCTAGTTCCCTAAATCTCAGCTCAGAGGTGTTGCTGATAAAACATGAGTTTCAGGCTGAGGAAAGTAGACTCCATTCCCTAGATGTTGCTAAGTGATGTTATGAGCACTTGTGCAGAAATGCTGGAAACCCAAGGGAAACCACTGATGCCTGTTTAAAGAACAGCTGAAAGAACCTTCTTTTCATAGAATGCTCTGGGGTTTGGGATGCCAAACATACATAGGTGCCCTCCTGGCTTAAATTTCCAAGAGAACTCAGAGTGCAGACAATAGTGTATGCTGCTTAGTTAGCTAGTATTTATATTGTCAAAGTCCTAAGAATGCCCGCCAACAGCTTCTCCTCCAAAGAAATTCTTAACAGCCCACTACAGCTAGCACTGTAGTAGTCCACCAGCACTTGAGGCAAGGCAGAAGCAATTTACAACTCTTAACACATCTTCAACATAACAATCAACTGCATGATTGGATCAACAAACATATCAATAAAATCTGCTCTTCAAAGTTAAAAGGGTGCTAAGCCACCCCAGCTGCTACAAGATACACATATATAGGTCCACTCCACTAACACAGAACAACCCAAAATAAAAACACTATCTTGCCACTGATTTAATTCTGGAAATGGTGTGCTAAACCAGCATAGAGACGAGCTTTGCTTGTCAATCAGTTACAGTGGGTACATAAACTAGGAAATAAAAGTATTAATACAACAGCAGTGTCACAGTATTAAATGTGAGATATTTAATCTTGTATGTGTATGGTGTATTCAAAACAGAATCAGAAAAAAAACCCAGATCAAATGTATTACTTGGAGGGTGTATGTGTATTAATTCAACCTTGAAGAAATGCTATGGTTGTTCCGACCAGTGCTACTTCCTATAAAACTGGTATATTATGAAACCTCAGCAGCACAGTGTTGTCTAATATAGGAAGTTGCTCTTTATTTCTCCCAAAAGTTAAAGGGCCAGCTTCTAGCTGGAAAAGCCAGCTTTCAACTAATCTGTATTTCATCTATATCTCTGTAGTGGTATTCACAGTTTGCTTGCATTTTAGAAGTGTGAATTAGATTTGAGGATCCCCCTGAAACGGTTTGGTCATTTGAAATGGAACTTTCTCACTCAATTAATCTCACTCTGAAAACAAGTGTATCTACACAATGCCAGATTGACCAAGAAAATTTCAAACGTGTTGAGGCATCTCACAGATCCTAAGCATTTCTGGACAGAAGTGCAAAATCAAATCAAATGCTTAAAAAGAAAAACATGGATTTTGGGTCAAGACACCTGTTTCTTTCCCTATTTCTTCCTAACCAAGATCATAAATTGCAGTCTAAGAGACACCTGCTCAGCAGCTGACAAGAACTATAGGTCCCCTAAGCTTGTAGGTTTGTCCTCATTTGACCTGGAAGCTCTCACAGCTCACACCTTCCACCAAGACGGTGGACAGGTACTACATATGGGAACAAAATAGCTAGAAAAGTGTACATGAGCCCTTAGAGAGCTCAGTCTAAGAAACATGTCCAACATATTGATAGGATTCAGATCCTCATAAAATCTACCAGAGGTGAATGGACTACAAGAATAGCTGAGTGGTTACAGTTCAGTAAGGTCTACAGAAAGGCAAGGGACGGAATCCAGCTGTGTACACCTAACTGTCCTAGAAAAGTGCTTGGCTGGAGCTTCTGAAGGCAAAGCTCCTGTTTCCAAAGCTATGCAGCAGTGAAGCCAACAGAGATTCAGACTTGGGTCTTGGAATAGTAGAAGCACCTGTCTATTGTTCAGACTTCTCAACTTTAAAAAGGAAAGGAGAACAGGACTGCAGGTAACTCCTGTGGCACATCTCCTGTCTAGGCCTGGGCAGCTTGCTGTCACAAGGGGATGGAGACAGAGAAGTGGGAGGTGAGATGGAAGAGGCAGGATGAGACTAAGGACTACCTGGTTAATTATGTTCAGCAACTCTCTTCACAGTGCTCCAGTTTTAACCTCTGATTTCATTTTATGTTTTCACCTGACAACTTAGATTTCTTTTTCACACTTTGGAGCCTCAATGTCTGTTATAGGTTGGCAGGTGCCTGGAACACAGAGTGAATTAACTCGTCAGATTCTATAAAATAAAGTGAAAGGGCTTTTATGGAGCCAGTTTGTCAATTTTTAGGTTGAAGAAATACAATCCTCATGTACAGAAGTGTTTCAATAAAGCAAAATTGCAATTTTGATTCCCATCTGTTGAGATCTAAATTCCTTCTGGAAGAAAATATGAAATGTAGCTGGAAAAACAGGCAAAACCCAACTATGCCATTTGTCTGTGCTACAAATACTAACTCCTAGAACTTGTCTGCAAAACAAAGACCTAAGTTTTTATTAATACTGACTTAACTGATCAGAAGTTTTAATAATAAAATACCCATTTCTGCATGCACACCACATCCTGCACAACATTAAAAATATGCATGTCAAAACCTAGCCATACGCTGTTCATGGCTAGCACCCTTCTGATGAAAAATATACTCTGTGTGATTTGAGACAAAATTGTATTTTCTTTACACACACATGAAAAACATAATGGAAAATGGAAGGAAAAGAAAAAGGACTGAAAACCCTAGCAGCCTAATTTAACTCTAACTTGAGCACCCCTATAAAGTATTGAAATTTACACAATCTGATTTACATATCTAATATGTACTTCCAAGGGTAAGCTGCAAGGTCACAGTTTCTATTCCTGCTAAACAGTTCAACCTACAGCAAATACTTGATGCAATCATTGCTCAGCAAACATCTCAACCTACCATCTTAAGGTGCCACATAACTGGCCAGAACAAGACTGGCTTATTACCAGCAGCCATCTTACTAATTATTTATTCATTTAGTAAATACAGAGTGATCTTATACTTCACCAGGATAGATCACGCTTAACCATACAGACAAAAGACTGGATCTGCTGCATGGGGTGACACAGAAATATCAAATGAGCAAGTGAGGTCAAAGAGTGAATTTCCATGAATGAATCTTAGAAACTAACCTTGAACAGGGCACACCACCATTATTAACTTTCATATAAAACATGCATAAATGCAACTTACAGCATTGTGTGATCTTCTGGATGTTAGAAGTTATGCGTTGGGCTAGTTGATTAGGATCCCCAAAACTCACACCGTATGACATGGCTGAGTAGATTTGCTCTCAAGATCATTCACGACAGGAACAAGTCAGACAGTCTCCACCTATTAAGGACACCTAACCCCCCCAGAAAACAGAATTATGTGTTGGTCATTGGTTAACAAATGTCTCCATCATCATAAGGAAGAATGCATAGGAAAAGATTACAGAAAATTCCAGATACTAAGGTTTACCCTCTCAAAAAAAACAGTACTTCAAAGGCAGAATTTAAGGGGGAAACTTCCTTAAAGTATTAAATATGATGTCCTTTTTGAACTTCATCTGCTGCCATTCCTGAAAAAGATGAATGTTTAATCTCTCAATGCCAAACCCTCTGATTAATTACGTCCCAAACCAATTATATGGTTATTTCCATACCACGTATCACTTATCCCATCAATATAACCTAGCATATATAAACTGCTGGGGGGAGGGGGGGGTGTGGTGTGTGGAACAAATAACAAAACCCAGGAAACCAGCAGGTATCACACAAGGTGTCAGAATGAAGGAGACACCCAGTTCCCTCTAAACGCCAATCATTTGTACCAACTTTGGTTTTAGCTGTAACCTGGTTTCATCTGAATTCTAGGAACTGCCACTTTATCCTGTTTCAGCTGCCATGTTTCTCAATATTAATTAATTTTTCAACAACCTGAATATATAAATGCATTTTTAGGGCTGTTTTTTGCACCCAGAACTATCACATCTTATCCAAAAAGATCAAAATCTGACCACACAAATACTCACAAATACACTTGCCCTAAAAGCACATGTATAAAATCAAGCAGCACATAACTACTAAAGATGTCCTAGCCTGGTTTTCATTCATGCAGATCAAATTTCAGCACAAACTAGATATTGTAAAGATACTGTAAATCCAAATTAACAAAACAGCTTAGGATGCACTTGCAAGTCAAAACTAGCAATTTACCTGTTCTGCAGTAAGAATGCAGACTAATTAAGCACACGTGTATGCAACAGAATCCCAAAATTTCATCCAGGCTGCGCTTAGTCTTAAATTTATCTTTTCCACCCCACTGCACATCACCTTAATGGGTTTAACGTTTTAACTTCACCGGCTCTCCACACTTGTACTGTTCAACCCAAACCACCTGCCTTTCAAGCAGTGTCCTCTTCTCCTGGCCTGTCAGCTTCTGGTTAACAGACACTGCTACAACTCCAGTTACAGGGAGAGAGAGAAAGTGCATCTAAATGTTTAAACAGAAAAGAAGGAAATGAAAAAAGGCCAACTGATTTGTCAAGTGTGATACCAGCTGTGCTACAGTTTGCAAACTCAAGCCCTTATGATTTAAAAAAAAAAAAAGAAAACCCAAAACACACCACAATTAACAGTCATTGTTGCCAAATAGTATTTTCTTTCACCTTCAGAAATGCCTGTATTAATACAGTACAGAAACATCTTGGTTGTTTAAAACATGACTGTTTTCATCTCTCCATGATATGAAATGATCTCCAGTGGAGGTGCCAAGACATTGCACTAGCTGGATACATCCCACCAGAGCTTCACGAGGGATGTCACTGCAGAGGTCAGGCTCATCCCTGCTGCCCTGCAGGTTCTGTGGTGGATGAACAAGCTGCTGCTACTATAAAGACAAACCCCAAAAGACTTTGACATGGCTGCTCCCAAACCCTGCCTAGAGTCTTCAGGTGCTGAAGTGTGTTCCCTAAAAATGAAAAACCTGACTGCAGATGATTGTTTAAATATATATATAAAAATACAGGGAGTGTATTTGCACTCTTACACATACTTGCTGCACAACTGCCTGTGAGTCATGCTATCTTTCTGCAGTATCGCTTCCTGTCTTTGTACCACATGCACATTCAAGTTATTTTGCATTACAGACTAAAGTCTGAAGTCAGCCAGCCAGCCTAAATCCCACTTATCTGGCCCAAGGCTGGCATAACAATCTTTATGAAGACTATAGGTAATACTGAGTTGAGTTTGTATTGTAAGATCAAACCCATGCAAACTTTAACAGCAAATAAAATCGCTCTATGCCTTAGTGTATTGGCTGAGTATGGAAATTCTATCGACTTAGTAGAAAACACATTCAGAGGCATAAAATAAAAATAAGAACAAACCTAAAAGAAGTTAGTTTGAAAAAGATTTCTCAGAACTGTTGACATTGTTTCTTTTAAAAGGTATGACTATCTCTTAACACCTTGGTATCAAGCTATCTACAAAGTCAGCACTGGCTAAAAATACTTCTTAGCTTAATATAATATTTAATGTTAAAAGTTAAACATTAAAATGCACCTGCTGGGAGAAAAGACAGCAAAAGACCAAATTACTTTGTGTGGAATGGCTACAGAACTAACTGAAATGTTCCTTCACAATTGTCTTTACTCCCTTCATGTTTGCATTCACTGTTCTCAGCAACAGCATTACAATCAAGAGAATTACAATCAACAGAATATTTCATCCAAGTCTTGACAAAAACAGTGACTTTTTGTTTTTAAAATTTCTACAGCTAACCACAAGAACCTTTAAGCAAGTTATACTGCACTATACTGACAAACGCACAGTTTGTACAATACCTGAGACTAAGCTTTTCAACTTTCTAGCTACACAGCTGGGCAGCCAAACACAACACATAAGGAGAGGATGTTCACATAATAGATTGCAAAGTCCATGGGGTTATAGTTTAGCTTTTTGTCTGCACATGTAGATCCCTCTAATTGCTGACACAATTCTTTGTATCAACACACATATTTCAGTTGAGGTTTATAGTAAATTTGTAGGATAGCAGTGTAAATTCAGGGCTGTTCTACTCTATACAAATTCTTCCACCAGTAATGCCATTTCCAAGTATGTTAATAATGCAGGCTGGTGACAGACCAAGCTACTGGTCTGGAGAACAGACAGAAAGAGAGGTAAGGGGTCAACCATCACCTCTCATCACTTCCCCGTCTTTACCACAAACTCCCCAAGTCAAGAAAAACCAAACTGAACAGTCCAAAGAGAGGGAAAATTTTGCATCTTTTAAAAAAATTTATTTTATTTTTTAAACAGGAAGTGTGAACTTCTTCATTCTAGTTCTGAGAGCAACATGTGCATCTGAAACAAACACCCTATGTCCACTCACACACCCTTTGCTAGTTCATGCTGAATTACTCAAACACCAACATGTTTTCTAGAGAGTGTCTGTCAGACTTGGAAAAAAAAAATCCAGTTTTCCTTTGGCTACGTCCAGTCAGATCATTGCTGAATGCAGAGACAAGAAAGTGGGGACTCCACAACTGATGAGCTCCCCTGTACATTTCTTGAAAACTCCATCAGGACATAAGGATGCAACATGGCAAGCGCAGCACATCAGACCTCAGCTGCAGTCACCTAAGTGTCTTGCAGGCTCTGGTCAGATACCATTAGTAACCATCCTATCTATTTTGTATTTTCTTATTTAGATATTCTAAGAGTTTTCCTTCTACAAGTCTAGCCTATATACATTAGGGTAAGAACGCTTACACTTACCGCTTAAGCAGTGTTTTAGCATCAGGACTTAGAAACGTTTACATGGATCCTTAACTTCACAGAAAGCAAAAAGTACAAGCTGCATTCCACAGAAATGCCTGAAAATTTAAATCTGATCTGAATTAGGATCTTATGCCTTTAAATATCCATAGACAAGTCATGGGGCTTTCTTGTACGTCATTAATTTTTTTTTTTTTTTCTAAATAAAGGTCACAGAAACAAAGCTTCTCCCAAACAACTCCTGAATGCGACTTCCTTTGTAAACTACTGCCAAAAAAAAACCAAAAAAGAGTGCAAGATGTTTCAGGCAGGGTGAAACACAGACAAAAATGATAAACTGCTGAAAAGTCCTGAGGAAAAAAAAAATTGCAGCCAGTCACAATGTTAGCTACACAAAATTTGTATCATGGTAACAGCCATGATTAGTAAGATTTCTGCAATGCAACACTGCTCAAACTATTTCATCTCAGTGGGTTTTACCACCCAAATACTGAGATGAGACAAGGTGCAACTACAGAGTGACCTATGGCACCTACCTAAGGCAACCCAAACACATTATCATCTTCAGACAGCAGCATCTGCTCTTGATTTTAGCAGTAACTTTGTAGCAGGTAAAATTAATCTTAAAAAGAAAATTAAAACAAACAAACAAAAAAGTCTTGTAATAAAGGGTAGACTGTATGCAGGAAGTACTCTCTGCTCCAGCACTTGAGGCATACTCAGAACCAACTCATAGAAACTGACTTAGTAACACAGAGGTGAGTATTAAAACTGTCATTATTTTCTCTAATGGGGATGAAGGAGGTTAAGTTTCATTTCTGAATTTGTCTACTTTTCCCCCCTTTTATTAGGCTAAAATATTTAAAGACAGAGATTGTACTTTCCACTTGGTGCTTTTACAGCTTCTAATGTGCTAGAATCCTGGTCCACCGCCCCAGAGCAGGCTGGGGCTTCCATAATACAAAACCAATTGTGGAGCAGAATAGACATGCAAACAAAATAGCAATAAAACTAAATCCTTCCTGTCTTCTTAAAAAAAGGCTCCAGATTTTCTTTTATCATCTAGTTTCAGGTAGAAGACAAACTTAAATCCATATAGGGTAGGGAAAAGCAAGCGAAGTTGATTTAAAACTTTGTTTGCTCTACTGCACCAACACTAACGTAAAAGACACCAAAAGGTATTTTTCTATTACACTCTGCCCAATTCCCTCAGCCTTGCCACATTAGTAATGCTGAAAAAACCAAGCTATGCTACATAATGGCTAGAAGTACTTTTTTCTTAGAAGGTAAACAAGCAAAAAAAATTTGACTGTGCCACTGGTGAGTGTTTTAGTAATTTTCCCCAGAAACAATTCTGTTTAAAGCAGTGGCATTCAAGACTGACCAGTGTGGCAAACTAAAATACAGAAGCCTGAAATATATTAGGCCTAAGACATCACCACTGCATATCATACCTGGCTAAAATAAGAATACGCTTATCATTCTCTGATTTGCCCACACTGATACTTATAATGAACTAGGTGAAGGAAGCACATAGCTTTCACAAGCCTAACAGAACATACTAGGTCTTGGGGAAGTACCTTAGGTAAGGGAATTATACTTCCTAGGAGTGCACAAAGCATTTAGAGGCCTAACAGCGAAGCAGGAATAGGAAAATGAACACTGGAACTACTGGGGAGAGGAGAAACTGAAGGGCTAAAAATTGGACCCAAAATGAGTGTTTTGAAATGCCAAGTTTCTTTTATAGAATCATAGAAAGGTCTGGGTTGGAAGGGACTTCAAAGATCATCTAGCTCTAACCCCCCTGCTATCGGCAGAGACACCCTCCACTAGATCAGGTTGCTCCACACAAGCTTTTGCAGCTGGTAGACAAACAGCATCTCCCTGTTGGATTAGAACTCCAGGGCATCTAGCATGCTATGTGTTCACACCGAAATCTCCCTAACAGCAGCTTGTTCACTTTGACCCAAATGTTCAGATCAAGTACACAGAGAGAGAAGTTATTTGCACAAAATCTGACTGCGCTGGATGCTTAGTCTCTCTGAGGCCTGCCAGGATACTAATGACTACATATAGTTCACAGTCACTTCCCCGCCCTGCCTTCCTCCTCCGACGAGTTTCACTTCAATATAAGCCACCAAGAAGAGTGCTACTTAATATTCTGACACAAGACTACAAGAGATGCCTTCATGAATGGAACACAATTACAGTTTATAACAATGCCACCATTTAGCATCACTTTCTTCTAACTTTAACATATTTTAACTTTTTTCCCTCCTGTTTCTTTCTTATTAACAGCACTCACACAAACTCCCAGAAAGGCTGCACTGCTAGCAAAGTGCACACCTTGATGATGATGGGTAAGGAGGGCTCTGTTCACCCTGTCAGCATGGCTCTCTGCCTTTGCACGGCTTGCTCATCAGTGGAGGGGGTCACAACGCAGAAGCATATCGTTTCCAGCAAAGTATCCTGGGGCTCTATCACTGAGTTGCAATTAAGGTGCAAAGCAGAGCAAAACCTTTCACTTCCTTCTACAGTCTGAAGAAGCGGCCGTTCCTGATGCAGCAGAGAGTTTCACCAGCAAAGCAGTGACAAGGCTGGGCCAGTGGCCTGACACACCAGACCCAGGCTCGCTATTTACACTAGTGATTTTGACAATCTCCCTTCCTCCTGCTGACATGCTTTCCTCACCTCGGATCTGGAATAGCAGGGAGGGAGTTTCAACATGGCGAAGGTGACCATCCTACCCTACAATTCCATATAAAACGCTGGCCGCAGGCCCCGAGTCTCTCCTCGGAGCATCACGGGCAGCGGCAAGCCTAAACCCATGCTACCAGGGGCATGTCACCGGACGGGTGTGGAGGAACCCGGCGGTGTTGACACAAGCGGCCGCACTCCAAAGCCACGCCCGCCCCGCAGTCCCGGCCCTGGCCGCCCCGCTCGCCCGCAGCCGCCCCGCTCTACCCAGGCCGGACGGCAGCACCAGGCCGGGACTGAGGAGGGTGGCGGCCCCGACCCTAGCGAGGTCCTGCGGGGCGCTTCGACTCCGTCCACCGCCCTCCCAGAGGCTCCCCTCTGCTGGCAGCCCCTCCCGGCCGGGCGGGCGGACAGACGGACACCGCCCCGACCCCCCCTCCCTCCCTCCGGGAGGGCAGCAAGCACGCCCCATAGCCGCAACACAGTTCTCGCTGCTCTTACCCAGCCCTGGCGAACCTGGACCCAGAGATCACTGCTGGAGGCGACAGGGCGGGAATAAGCCCCCCCCACCCCGCCAGCCGCGACGGCGGAGGCTTGGGGAGGCAGGGCCACGGCACTGCCCGCCCACCGGCTTGAACGGGCGGGCGGGGTTTGGCCACGGCAGCCCGCCCTGAGCTGCGGGTGCGGCCCCTCGCAGCCGGCTCCTCCCCGGCCTGCGGGCGGTGGCTCGCCGGTGACAGGTGGAGCAGGAGGAGCGGGGCAGCCCTGAGCTGCCAGCAGCCCTGTGGGGGTGGAAAAACTGGGGAGTGGGGGGGAAGTGTAGTTTAAAGAAAAGGTGCTGTCGCCTCAGAAATTAAGGGGAAAACATGACTACGGAAACAATATTACAGGGAAAAATCCAATGTTACTACATTAACAGCCTGCGCTGAAACACTGCCTTCAGTTTTGATCATTTCTAAATGGGAGCAGACACTTAGAATAAAGTGAGTAGGAAATTACCGATATATTTAAAGGTGTCTTTAAATGTAGAGGCTTAGAATATTTAGCTGGGCGAAGGGGCAAGCCATTCCAGGAACAAGGAAAAGTGTAGGGTGTATTCCCATGGCTGCCAGTCCTGGGCTGGGTGTACAGGGGGTGCAGGCCACGCGTGGATGTGAGGGCACTAGGAAGCTATAGGAAGCAGAGACATACAAATCCCAGTCTCCTTCTGACCCAGATACCTGAGAAGAAGGGGCAGGGGTGAGCCTCGAGGCCATCTGCATAGCAGCCGGGGTGCTTCTGCATCCTCTCTGGCTCTCCAAAAGGAAAATTACAGACCCTGGTGTTCCACAGTGCCCTGGGTTGGGCTGGGTCATCTGCAGGATGCCCCATGTGCATTAAATCACACAGAGTAAACAGCCCACAGGACCTAATTGCTGGGAGCACTGTCTCCTCCACAAAGACCAGCTGCTCTAGGGAAGGGCTGCAAAACTTGGGAAGTGCATGTTTATTTCGCCACAGCATAGACCTTGGTCATCACTAATATTTAAAAATAAATAGAGCAGTGGAAACCTTAATAACAACCTAACCAAATCACACTAATAGTAAAGCGCATTAAGCTGTCAACACAACAGAGTGAAGCTAAAGGCCTGCAGTAGATAAGACTACCCTTTACATAGGTGGCTCCTCCTGTGTCTCAAAGCTTGCTGAAAGGAGAGGCAAAATAACCTCAGAGACTTATATGCCTATGTATAGTTCTTATGTTAATTGATGCTTGGAAATCTCACTTTCATAAATTAAAGTTACTGAGGAAAAAATACATTCTTGATATGCATATTTGCTTCAGAAATGTTGTATACATTAGCAATGATTTTACTTTCTACATGCGCAGGAGTTTCATCCATGCTGTTGGCATACTGAAGCTGATCCAAGATGATCCCACTACATGGTGTGCTAATGAGAGTATAATGCATGTCCCTTCTGAATTAAGGCCTCACCTTGATTTTTGTCTCCAAACATTTGTCATATAAATTTTATTGATTGAGCCCAGTCACTCCTGATTTACAAAGCTTTAGCTGAGCTCGCTGTCAGATTTTCCCCAGAAAATAATACATCTTTTGCTATCTGATTTAAAATATGTACTTTCCATTAATCAATAATTCCCTTCATCAGTGAGAATACTTTATCTGCAGATAACTGCTCTTGGTACTTTTTTTTGGAGGTAATGCACAGACATTGCTAATCAATGTTCATTCGAAAGAGGTATCCAAATGCTTTCCTAGTGATACTGGGTGTTTTATGAACAAAATGCTGGTGCTCACCTGCTGTCAACTCACTTATCTTTAGCATTCACCTTTTATTGTTAAATAACTAAAGATCTTTGTGATGCAATTCTTAAAAGTAACTGGTGGCAGCAAACATATTACAGCCTGGAAGGAAAAGCTGGATTATAAAACAAAATTTTCTTTAAAATCTTGTCTATACCAGGAAAATATAATAATATTTTCATATTCTTCAATATAATAATATAAAATAATTATGAAGATACAGTTAATAGACCAGCCATAATGTCATACTTATTGATCAGATACTGCTAAGAGTACAGTACGTCCTTAGAAAATTTTTAACTCCTATAGAAAAGCCATTGACTGTGAGAATGTGCTCTGTTTTACCCTTTAAATGAAGCAGGAGGATTCCTTCTATTTTCTGCATGCTTTCCTCTGTTAGCAGTGGTGTATGGACAGGAGCTGTAAAGAAGCGGCCTTTAATTGTTATTGTCAGAGATGCTGAAATGGAGTGCTGCCAAACAATTCTGTCTCTAAACTCATTGGCTTCTTTCTAGAGAGTTACCTGCGGACTGGGGACAAACTTACATATTTGCTTACCTTTCCTGTTGCTTTTGGAGCATGATTAGATTTCAATTGATTAAATGAAATGGGGAAAGCTCTGGGGAAAGAAAGGGGAAAATGTTGAAACCTGCTATGCTGTTCATAGGCTCAGCGTACCACAGAGGATGCTCTGAACATTCACTGACTAAAGATCAGAGTATTTGCCAATTATATTCTGATACTGTGTTTAAAACTTAAGGAGATGTCGTTTCAAACACATACTGTTTGAAGATCCATACTCAGTATGGTACCTGATGTTTGAAAGAATTGGAAGTTAAACAACACCAACATAGTGTGATTTTGAAAGAGCACACCTTCCTCCTAGCCCAGAATCTGAATCCACTCCACCTTTCTGAATGTATTTCTGTCTACCATCTCCTGCTCTTGCCCTGGCGCTGAACTGACAGGCACATCAGCCCAGCAGCATGGGTGTCACAAGCACCAGGGGCTACCGGTAACAGAAACGAGGCACTCATTTCCATCCAGCTCCCTGTGCCTGCACAATGCATGATGAAATGAAGGGGAATCAGCCCAACCCTGCCCTTGTATTCCTGCTGAGTGTCCTCTTTTCAAGGTGTGAGCGATGCCTATGTGTTTTTGTAATTTACCTTGTGGATGAGTTTCACTGTCTGCTATCACATTTTACTTGCATTGCCTTTAACTTTTGATAGGAAAAGCAATGCTGCCAGTATTTGGTACCAATGGCAAACTGTCTGGCAGAGCTTCCTAGGTGGTTGTTACTGATGCATTCCACCATCAGGAACAATTCCCGTTACTGTTGTTATCATCTCCGTTTGCTAATTTAATTAAAATATCTGCTTCAGAACCTGAAAGGAGATTAGGTTTCTATTACACCCCATGCTGTACAAAATTATGATGGATGGTGGTTTCCAGCCTGGACAAGCTAATGGATTAATTATATTGCAGAATGGCCTGTAAAACATATTTGTTTGTGGTTTTGTCTGTTGGGTTTTTTTTAAATGCATTGGCTATTTGCATGTTATTTAGTCTGGTACTTTCTCTCTAGCAGCAGTAATTAACATGTTAGAATGTTTTAAATAAACAGAAAATATTTGTTCTCAATATTGATAATGTTTCAAAAAAAATAAAAATAAAAAATAAAAACAATAAAAACCAACCAACCCAGGAAACTTCCTTTAAGTTTCAAAGACTGTATTATACTTTCATAATGAAATGAGATGACATTATTGTTTCAAAGCCCAGTCTTTAATTAAGTAGTGCCTACAAATACATAATCTAACTTCAGCCAGACCATTTTGAAATTACAAAGAGTTATAAATGACATACAGTTAAATGGTGAAATATTGTTCAGATGAAGAAATACAGATCCACAGAAGGAAATATATTAAAAATAAGAGTATTTATGGACTTTGAGGTCAGCAACTAGCTCTGATACAATCTGATCGGTTTTCATTTGGAAAATGAGGTCATTGTTGAACAATTAATCTTCATCATCTTACAGCACCTCCTTGTTTTCATTTTATAATTCATAATTACCTTCATTGCTTTTTGAAACCATGGAGAAGAAAAAAACAAACAATCATTCAAAGGGATCCTAACAGAATTTGGATAGATAAACCAAATAGACATCAAAAGCAAGGGCAGATTGGGGGTTATAAGGATGCTGAATATATTGTTTAGTGATAGTTGTGAAATGTGGTGTCAGAAAATGGGGAAAGCAATCCTGGCTACTTCCAGAGTTTTAGCAGCTTTTCCTTCTCACTTGTTTGCTCTGCCACTGTCACTGTACAAATCAGTCCTCTGGGCTCTGTTTTTCCCTCTCTCCGTAATTCCTGCCTGCTGTTTAGCCAAAAAGGAGATGTAGCAACAATCACACGGTGTTATGGCATAGTCCTTGTACAGTGGCATAGGTGGTGGTAACCCATCAGGAGAATAAGGCTCATCCACTTCAACAGAAGAAAACTATAAAGACATATTATATGGTGAGGCTCAAAAAGAAGTGGCCAGTTAAGTGTGTTCATGGCAAATACCCTCTGTGATCTGTTGAAGACCCATAGAAAATATATCAAAAAACAACTAGAAACTCAGTGGAAGTTCACTTTCTCTATTGCTTTGGCTGCAGTGAGTTCAGAGCAAAAGGCATTATTGAAAGATGTTGTTAAGGTGCCCCTACAACCTGACTGAATTTGAGACTTGCAGATTTCTATATAGCTAAATGTCTAAACTTCTATTACATGCCTTGTTTAAGCTCAGTGCCCCACAGCTGAATATCTAGTGCAATTTTAGATGCCCAGATGTGTCCTGTCTAAATGCTGCTTCATTGGTGCTGGATGCTATCCCATGTAGATGTAGCAGGTTGCCTAAGGCATCTTAGGTGTCACTAGACAAATGATTCATATCCTGTTAGTATTCACTAACTACAGCCTGAGCTTGGAAAGACATTCTGGCTATGCTATCATCAGTGCATAGGCTTTTACCATAATTATAAACACCTACCCATCACATTTAAGAGTCTTAATCTAAAAACTCATCCCACAGTCCAGGTCTTTCAAGATGTACCACAGCTTCCCTATATGTTCCTATAGTAATTTAGGACCTGAATTTTTCTAAGAATCCGATCCTGCCTTTCACTCTTTAGCCTGGTTGCTTGGGTTTGGTACCTTTATTGTCAAAAATCTACAGCTATATGAAGTAAGGGTCAGATTTTTGCCTTCTGCTACAGCATGAGCAAACAGAGGAACAGCAGAAGTAGCTGTGGCTTCTGTCCTAAGAAGCAGTGAAGATTAATACAGCAAACTGGACACTGAGAGAGTGAAGTGGGACTGCGTGACACTCCAACTCCAGACATAAGGCTTCATAAAGGTCCCAGTTTAAAAACACCAACATTTTACAGTCACTTTCTATTCAGGACACCCCTGAAAATAACACAGGCCCTCTTTCTCATCTCCTTCCTCCATACATATGCTTTAGTGTTAAATATTTTGAATACCGGTATTTTTTCTGACTGGGGTCTTAAGATTATGGTTAAAACCAAAGAGTTTGAGATAAACAGATATCAGAACAGATTACAACATCCCAAAGCTATAGCTCATTTGTACTAGTAGAGGAAACTTTCTTGCCATGCAAAAAGCATAATGATAAGATAAAAAAGAGGGGAAAAAAGTTTTACCATTTAGTTTATTGCATACATTAAAACAGGCAGCTGCTACAAGAATCACAGTATTGCGATGATTTCCCACAGAATATCTGCTGCACAATTCCTCTCTTTTGTTCTTACACACGTGGGGCCTGATTCAACTGCCTGCAGCACCCAGTGAAAAACTGTCCACTTTTTTCAGTAGGCCATGGGGCATCTGCTGGTTTCTTACTGTTAGTTGCATGCTTTCTGTTGTCTGTTCTCTTTGTGTTTGTCACTCAGAAAATATGCAGCTGACTACGAGATGGAATGAGCTGTTTTAGAAGGCACTAAATATTTTAACAACTTTCAAACCTAGAACAGTTTTACATACCATTAACAGAAAAAGAAGACAAAATTATTAGAGCTGCTATTTGGCTGCTTATTAATTTTGTATAGAAGAGTCACTACTGCTTAGCACTTTTTTTTTCTGATAAAATGTTAATAATAATGAGGTAGAAAATAACTTTCTTATGAATAGTACAGAACTTCACCATGCAGCTTGCTGTTAAACAGAGGTCTCAATTTACCAGCATCTACAGATTTAAAATTGGCCTTGTGAAAGCATATAAAGATAGCTGATGTAAACTGAGAACCTATGCTGGCATTTTTTGCACAACCCAAGTGTGTAGGCATATGTTGTGTCTGTAAGCAGACATACTCATTTCTTTGGAAGCAAGCAAACAAAAGAGCATGTGGAGTCTCAGGATTGTCAGGGAAAAGAAGACAAAAGAATAAACCATAAAACATCATGACACCTACTGGTATCTGGAGTTGGGGTATGCTGTGCATTCTATGTCCTCTTCCCGTTTCTTCTCCCGGCCTTTATGCAGTAGGAGTAGAAAAGATACAGAGCAAGGCGAAAAGGGTGTTCATACTTAAGGAGTGTCCTCCTTGCACACACAGATCAAGCAGGCACACATTCTATGGGTTTCAGTAAACACTAATTCAGAATAGTATCTCCCATATGTAGCCTTTGGCACAGGGGCGCATCCCTTGGGCTAGAAAAATAGTGTAAAAAATAGTGGTGTAACTGAAGAATAGTATGGACAAGGTCTTCTTTGGAGTTGGCTACAGCTAATTTTCAAACGCTTGTTGGAATCACATAGTGCAAGACCTTAATAAGGTGTGTCTGCTGTGTGTTGTGGAAGGTGAGTCACAGAATGGCATGTGTATTTAAATTGCGGATGTGCCCGAGCCAACTGTTAAAAAATGTTACAAAATAAGAAAAGAAATACTAGCTAAATGGATGTTGAAGAATATTCATGAGAATCTATATGTATGAAATAGCCTACAATATTTTCTACAGTGCACATGAAAGCTTTGGTCATTGCTGGTACATGTCTACTTAGATGTTCTGGAGAAAAAGATCCCATGAGTTAAAAGACTAGTTTTACAGCTTTCCTGAACCAGCAGTGGGAAAATACATAGATCAAGGGATTGCAGGCAGAATTGAAGTAAGCAAACCAAATAAGGATGTCAAACAGAGCTGGGGGGTAATGAAATCCAGAAGACTGTCTACCATAGTGTCAATAGTAAAGGGAAACCAACACAGGAGGTAGACTCCTACAGCTACCCCAAGAGCCTTTGCTGCCTTTCTTTCACTCTTAGATGCTCCCACGTGTAGCTGAGACAAAGTACTTTTACTCATGTTGTTTGTCAGCCTGGCTTGTTTGTTAGCCACAGTAAATATTTTTACATACAAAACTATCATTACTATGCAAGGGAAGAAAAATACTGGGAAGTTCAACCACCCCCAGAGCTTGTTGAACAGCAGCTGACAACTACCAATACAGGGCATGTCTTTCAAGAAATGGTCCAGTCCTTCTACGATCGCTTTAGTATAGAGGAGGATAGAGCTATAAGTCATAGGCACTGCCCACCCCACCCCAATGTAAATGGAGACCACTTTGATGGTGAACTTGGTGGGGTAGAGCAAAGGTTCACAGATAGCACAGTGCCGATCAATGGAAATGAAACATAGATGAAATATGGAGGTCAAGCAAAAGACTGTGTCCAGAAATGTGTGCAGCCTACAGAAGTCATCTCCAAAATACCAGCAGCTCTCTACAGACCGAATGGTGCTGAAGGGAAGCACAGTCAGCCCCAGGAGGAGCTGGGGAAGCACAGTCAGCAAGGGTGCTGAAGGGAAGCACAGTCAGCAAGGGCAAGGGAGAGAATCAGGAGGTTGGTGGGCGTGTGCAGGACTTTGAAATGGAAAACGATGATGACAACAAGGAGGTTCCCCAGCACCATGATCAGCGTGCCCAAGGCACAGGCCACATAAATGGCCAGCTGGACTCCAAAGGGGTATAAGGTCCTGTAGCAGGAGCCATTCACCTCGTAGCAGAAGGTGACGAGCATCTCCTCCTTAGCACTGGGACTCTGGGGTGAACTCATGCCAGCCTGCCCACGTCCCATTTCTTCCCCCAGCTCTGCCACAAACCTGGAAGAGGATTCACCTCCCAGCAGAGGTGCCAAATGACTAACCTGAAAAAAGGTGATAAAAAAGCAGATTAGAAGGAGAAATGTCTTTTAATCAAATACTTTTATTAAAGCCATCAGGCGGTTTCTGTATTTCAAGTGAAAAAATGAGCCTGATTTATCTGCTTTATATCTCTACTGAAATAAAGCAGCTCCAGATCAATGTATTCAATTCTTGTGGCAACATTTTTATATTACATTTTGGTTTTCTTTCAGCCAATACCATGAGCAGTGCAGGAAATCCAGCAAATACAGAGGTTTGTGAACAAGCAGTCAATAAAGGTCTGCCTTAGAAAGAAAACTAGTGCTGAGTAACAGGCATTGCAAACCAAAGCTCCTTAAGGGATTTGAAAGCTTATTCTAGTATAATGGTACACTAGTTCTTTTGAATTTCCATGAAAAAGAAGTTGCAATTTAATTATGGATCTGTGAAGTGATGAAACTGTGAAGTGATTATTCTAAACAAAGTAATATCTGATTGCAAAGGCAAACTCCTCAGGCCAAGTGGCTCATTTTATAGTGTTCTGGCTATGGGGATATATGTCTATATCCACTGTGCTGATGACATGAACAGGCAAGGCAAACAGAAATATTGTTATATGCCCTAAAGATTGCTCCTGCTTTTTACTTATGAAACTGCTATTTAAGTTTTAAGGTATACAATTTTTTTATTTGAACTGCAAGAAACATACAATATTAATGTATTATAATGGATTATTCCAGTAGTCTTTTAAACAAATCAGATAACTGAATTATATGATTTTTGACAGTAAGACAACTACAGTTAAACACATACTCATCTATAGGTACTATATGTATTTTTGTTCTTGAAATGATTGATATAATAGATGGAAATTATTCCTACTTTCCCTATCCTTCCCAGCAGCAGCAAAACATAATAGCAAACTTCTCAACTGTATTTCCATAAACTTTAAAATCAGGAATACTTGCAGTAAAATTTCTCTTTTCATAGAATGAAAGCTGTATTACAGTGGACAGAAATCCTTTTCTCTCTACATGTCTACTGCCTGAGTGGAAAGTATGAGATGTTATATAAACCAGATAGAGTCCCTATAGGTCACTAATGTGCCTTAGGGGCACAGCGAGACTGTTGTGTATTTGGCAAAAAAATTGCCATTTTCTAAGAAGAAGTTTAAATGCACATGTGCTCAGCTGCTATTGAAACTCTAAAGATTTACATCAGTGTTTGCTGTGAATTTCCTTTCTTTGTGTGTTCCTGCAAGAAAACACAGTTAATGCCAGCTCATCCTGGGGGTCATCAGTGACTCTCACCCTGTGGAGGATTTCCTTGCTTGTTCCTGAGCCTCAGTCTCCCTAAAACCATGCCTTTCACACCAGAAGGAGGTACATCAGGTACCTCTGGATTTTCCTTGCTTCCCCATAGCAGTCCCCATTTCTAGTCTGCAATATAAGCTGGCAGAAGAGGTGGATTCAGCAGCTTTCACTACTGGATGATTTTATGACATTCCTTTGACACAATGGTCAGTTTTACCACTGACATTACAGAGACAAATATCAATTAGGAAAGTCCTAAATTTTTCATCTTAGGCAAGATATGGGGTTTCAAAACAAACTTCCCATTTCTCAGTGAATGTTTTCCTGGTGCTCAGATCCTCCACTCTCTTCTCCTGCTCAGTCAGGGCAATCTCATACAAGCTCCTTAAGGGACTCTGATGGTACATCTCTCAGAACTTGTCCTCTTCTTCCCTGCTTTGCAATTAGTTATTTTACAAGGTCTCCAATATGACCGCCATCCTTCATCTTCCCTGCTTTGAGTTTCTTAGGTTAAGAGGTTGCCTGCTGCCCAGCTACCCTCGTATCTCTCTTGATGCTTTTCAGATACTCTGTGCCAAAGGCTGCTGATGCCCAGCAGAGAGACTGTTAGAATAACACTGAGGCAATTGTTTAGACTCAATTTTTAATATGAGAAAGATCAAAAGTCAGCATCGATTTCTCTATCATTCTGTTTTATATCAGGACATGTACAGCAGCTATTAGAATAGGAACTGAAAAACTCCTACAAGAGCAAGAGCAAGATTTTTTTTTTTTTTTTCAGTTTTGCTTCAACAACAAATTAAGGCAGCATTTCCACAGTATTAAATACTCCAGTGCAAAAAGGTATTGCTTGGGCATAGTTCTGTGAAACACTGTGCTTAGCTGGAGACTTGCTCTAAAACTTCAGAGTTTGGTTGGGTTTTTTTTGCCTTTTCCTGTTTCCACATTTTAATAAGTGATCATTTATATTAAGATTGTCAGAGGCTTTTAAATAGCTCTTGATATTAACAATAGAGTTTTTGTTCTTGATGCTCTGACATTTTCATTAGTTTTCATTCTTCCTGTATTTTGTATGCAATAAAGTATAATTCTTATACAAGTACTTTGTCATTGAAATTCCAGGTACAATCATGTCTTGTTGAAATACTTAACCTGTCTAGCTAGATAGCTGTCATGATGCTTCTGAAGTGATTATCACCACCCCTGAAAGGAACAACATGAAACTAAACGATCTCAGCTTGCCCTTTCTGTTCACATTACTTGTTGGAATTGCTTTGCATTTTTTCCCCTGCCTTCTCATCTGGTCATGGGAAAAAAGATCAGTTCATGATTAAGAGAAGGCTCAAATAGTGACAATGTAGGTCTTTATTCTTTGGAACAAGAAGAGCATTTAAAATGTACCAGTTCCAAATGTAAGGATGCTATCATAAAATAAAAAATGCAATGACACTCAGGATGTTTGTTGTATTTACCCTTCATTCTTCAGACAAAGCTGCTGGATATTCTCAAACTCAACTTCTGTTGAATGTACTATGCAGCCTAGTATGCCACAGGAAAACACACACACACACAAAAAAAAAAATAGAAGGATAAATGTGCTATCTGATATAGTTTGATCTGCAGTGAAGACATGCATAGCCACCATCTTCTTATATTGAAGCTCCTGGAAATAATCTCTAAGATCTAAATTCATCTAAGTAACCTTTGAGTCTGACTTCTTTATAGAACAAGACAATTTCAAAGGATTATGGACTTTCTAAGAGGGCCATCATTAGTGCCCCTTTGCTGTGAAATTTTTCCTCACAGCTTCTAAAACAGTTAGTCTGGGATCCCTAAATAGAATATAGTAGCATGAGAAGGCTATGGGCTTACTAAATTGACCTACATTGAGCTAGCAAACATAAATCTTCAATCTTGCATCACGTCTATTACAGCCATATATCGCTTATAGTGCAGCTTTTTGTTCTCCCTTCTAGTAGTGAACAGTCATCATCTCTGGAGAAATCACATACTGTATGAGTGTTTTATCATTACTGCAGAGTGGCAGAAATGTTTGTAGAGTAAATACTCACTCTGCCCTCATTCTGTTAGGTGTAGTGCACCCAACCTCTGTGCAGACAGAGTGTCTCCAAAGGGTGCAGTATATGTATTTTCTTCATATTTCTTACACGAATAGCAACATTTGCCCCAGTTTTGAAACTATTGAAAATTCTTGTCCGCAGTACTCATAAGAAATTGTTCCACTTGCTGCATCCCATTTTTATGTGCTTTTATGTTTTCCTGCTCTTTGTTACACTGGTCTGTGTTCTGTCCATAGAAGTGCTTTATAGGACACGCCTATTTGAGAAGTTTTAAAAGCAGTATCTCTGTAAGTTAACTGTGGCAGCTTGAAAGTGTTAAAAGTGGAAGTGAAGACAGAAAGAGAACTCCTCACTGGTGTTGTCCATATTGGTCCAAATTAGTCAACTCAAGGATTACAATCAAGGAGATTGTGGATTAAAAAAGAGTTTTAAAAACAGATATTTTAGTTCAGGAAGTTAATAAAAAGAATTACTAAATTCAAATATTTTATCTGTTATCTGAAATTAATGACTCACATATTTGTTTCAGTCTAAGATTTTTTCAACCAAACTTAAAATGTTTTTCTTTCGGTTTATTGATGTTATTGTCAATTTATTGTCTCCTTTTTTTTTTATCATTTATCTGAAATTTGAAATTAGTAATATCATCATAAAGTGAAAAATGCCAATAATTTACCACCTTCAAAACATAATCTTTTTCTGTTTAAACTTTTTTTTCTGAATGTGGACACAAAGTGCATTTTATAGTGAAGTTGGTGTTTAGCGATGCAGCAGAGAAACTGTGAAAGATATGACAAAAGTCAAAATACACACAGAAAAAAGTTGAATATGACATGATCTGATTCAAGAGTTCTCTGAAGATGAATTCATTAATAATAAGTGTTGAAGGTAATCCCACGGCTGCAAAAGAGGCCTGCATGTACAACCTATTTACCCCTTCCCCAGAGATCCCAATTCTTTTTGCTGTTGTTTGCAGTGAGCAAAACGCATCTCAACTGGGACTAACCTAATCAAAACAAGCCATATGTCAACAGTGTCTGTTAATTATAGAATCATAGAATAGTTAGGGTTGGAAAGGACCTTAAGATCATCAAGTTCCAACCCCCCTGCTATGGGCAGGGACACCTCACACTAAACCATATCTCCTTATATCCAATCTAAACTTCCCCTGTTTAAGTTCACATTTCAAAAGAAAAATTAGAAGCTTAAGATATTTTTAGCTGGTAAAAAAGAAAAGGAGAAGGAGAAGTGTTGCACTGCACAGCACTGGCAGAACAAAATGAATGAAAAGTTAACTCTGAAATACAAGCCAGCAAGTAGCCCAGCCTGTGAAAAGCATCAAACAGCCTTCAACCATCTGAATGTGGTCCATGCAAAGCTGCCTTTTTACACTGGACAACTTTTTAGTGTCACAAAGTGAACAGCAGTGGCTGAACTCTCCAGGTCAAGGAGCAGGAGAGAACATGGCAGGTATTAGTTTAAATATCCTTTTGCATGTTAAAATCCAAAGCTGCTTTGAGCACTGTTTTTCTCCATCCTACATTTTGGTGTAAATGTGTAATTAGAATACAAGTGAAAGTACTTCTCCTTTCTTACCAGGAAAAAAAATAAATAATTCTTAGGGTTTATATAGCTAAAAAGTCATGGGTATCTCTTGAGGAGCTGCACATCCTTTTCTATATCAGTTTTCTCTGCAGTGCTTCATTGATGCTTTGTTGCTGCTGCAGCCATGTAGAGTGACACACAATTGATCCAGTAGAAACATGATTTGAATAGGTTACCTACATGGAAGAATAAGTAAATTATTTTAATATAATAGTTACAGCTGTATATGCCTTCTCGTCAGGAGTTTCTTGGAACAGTTACTTTTATTACTTAATTATAACTAAAACTGATTAAAATTACAAAAAAAACCAAACTATACCTGAAAATTTGATGCTGACCAGTGAGCATTAATTTATCTGAACTTATCAGACTTCTTTAGCACATTTTAATTTTGAATGGAAAAATAATGTCTATAAATTAAAAACTAAAGATCTAAACTAAAGTTTAGATCTTGAAAAATTTATTTTGGAAATGCTACTGTAGTGTCTCTAGAGAATTACATTTGGATGTTTTATGTTATTGCTTACTTAACCCCCAGATCATGCCTGCCTTCAGAACCATAGTTATATCAAGTGACTTCATGATAAATATTTGTTATGTGCTCTGCAGTATTAAGGTATAAACTAGAAATCAACACAGAGCTTGAAAAAATAAGTGAACCTGTTTCTCAAAAAGTTTTCAGCTGGTGTTTTTGCAACCCAAGGATTTGACTTTCTTTTTTTTCCTTTTTTTTTTTAACTCCCGCCTTAATAAAATATGTCAACCTTCTCCAGAAAGCCAACTGTATCCTGGGCTGCATCAAAAGAATTGTGATCAGCAGGTCAAACAAGGTGATCCTGTCCCTCTACTCTGCTCTCATGAGACCTCACCTGGAGTATTGTGTACAGTTCTGATGTCGTCAACATAAAAAGGACATGGAACTGTTGGAACAAGTCCAGAGGAGGGCCACGAGGATGGTCAGGGGACTGGAGCACCTTCCGTATGAAGACAGGCTGAGAAAGTTGGGGCTGTTCAGCCTGGAGAAGAGAAGGCTGCATGGAAACCTCGTAACAGCCTTCCAGTATCTGACGGAGGGCTACAAAGATGCTGGGGAGAGACTCTTTTTTTTAGGAACTGTAGTGGTAGGACAAGGAGTAATGGGTTAAAACTTAAACAGGGGAAGTTTAAGTTAGATATAAAGAAGAAGTTCTTTACTGTAAGGATGGTGAGGCACTGGAATAGGTCGCCCAAGGAAGTTGTGAATGCTCCATCCCTGGCAGTGTTCAAGGCCAGGTTGGACAGAGCCTGAGGCAACATGATCTAGGGTGGAGTATCCCTGCCCATGGCAGGGGGTTGGAACTAGATGATCTTAAGGTCCTTTCCAGCCCTAATCATTCTATGGTTCTATGATTCTATGGTTCTCCTTAAAGCTGCTTTTACCTGTAGACTCCACAAGGGGGTAGGAAATCCTTTCTCACAGTTCATGCTGTGACAGAAAAGATCGGGGAAATAAAAAAAAAAAAAATAAAAAAGTGAGTTTAACTATTCTGACTGCAAGCAGGCACTACAGATAATACCTGCGAGTTGCTGAGCTGCAAACCATTTAAAAATAAAAATATAGCACTTGTTTGAATAAAGTTCACTGGCTTTGAAGACAGCTCTGAGTATTACACTTAGAGGCATTGCAAAAGGGAGGCTGCGGGTGGATTACCTGCTGGGATGCTTTTAAGCAGGTCTTGCTGTCCTGCATGACGAAACTGGGCTGTACCAGGGAGAAAAAGGATCATGGGGGTCTTCTCAGACTGAAGAGCCCACCTGGATGTGGGAACTTGAACTTCCACCTGAATCCAGGATTGGAAATATATTCTTCAAGGAAAACATTAGCTCTTGCTTGAATCATTCATGGTAAAAAATGTACAAGTCCTAACACTTCTGACTGCTTTCCTGAGAAGAAGAACATGGTCTAGGTTTAATATAGACCAGAATTCATGCTAAAACAGTCCATCATGCAGGGTGTAAAATAGATTAAATGGTGAGCATGTGTTTCAGGAAAATGAAATAAAACAAAACAACTTGCCATATTAATATTTAAGGAGAGGAATAAATAAAAATATCTGCAGTGCTTGCATCTGAACATAAATGGTACACCCCATTGAACTGAATGTAACAAATGTTATAGTAAGAACCACAGACACTCAACTCAGGTTCTCCTGTGCACCAGCAGAAAAAAAAATCCCTGTTACTGTGCCCCAGGTTTTGTGCAAAGCAGTGCTTTGTTTAGCACCAAATTTAGCACCAGCATCAATTTTAACAACAGGTGAAAAAGCATGGCATGCCAGAAAGTCGTTCAGGGACCGAATGCCACCATCTGACAGATCTGACAATCCCCTTGGCCAGAAGAACTACCAAAGAAGATCTAGCTGCAAGCTGCAAGTTGGGTACCAAGACTGACTAAGTAGATACTCCTTTAACATCCAAGGGCATACATTGGACACACACAAGGACATAACACACTGTAGCCTCACAGATAGCTCGGAAGTGTTCCTTGGAGATTTCTGGGAGAAGTGTTGTCTTTGTAAGAGATGTAATGTATTGGGCTGAATCTGAATGATTTATGCTGTATGTTAAAGAAGTAATTAAATTCTTACTTAAAATGTCTCTGACTGCATCATATGTCACCAGCTAGACATGTAATATGTAGGATTTTCAGAAATTCCTAAATGTGGACTTAGAGCCTTAATTAGACACCTAACATTAACTTAACAGAATCATAGAATCATAGAATCAATTAGGTTGAAAAAGACCTTTAATATCATCAAGCCAACTGTTACCCCAGGACTGCCAAGCCCACCATTAAACCGTATCGCTAAGGGCAAACAGATATCCCATCAAGATCTCTCCTCATGGCTGCCCCTCATGATCGCCAGTTGCCACCACCCCTCATCTGTCTCGTAGCAGCCCACACTGTAAAGCTGCTGTCCCTAACCCCCATGCCAACCCTCACACCCAATGGCTGATGCAGCTATCCTCTCATGACTGCCCTTCACGACCATCCCTCACATCCTATGGCTGCCCTTCCTTCCACTCACAATCATCCCTCGTGGCCGCCCCTCCTTTCCCCTCATGATCTCCCCTTGGCGCTGCCCCTTCATTCTCCTCATGATCTCCGCTCAAGACTGTCCCTCCTTTCCCCTCACGATCTCCCCTCATGGCTGCCCCTTCACAGAATCATAGAATCATAGAATCATAGAACAGTTAGGGTTGGAAAGGACCTTAAGATCATCTAGTTCCAACCCCCTTGCCATGGGCAGGGACAACTTGCGCTAAATCATATCACCCAAGGCTCTGTCCAACCTGGCCTTGAACACTGCCAGGGATGGAGCATTCACAATTTCCTTGGGCAACCCATTTGAGTGCCTCACCACCCTAACAATAAAGAACTTCTTCCTTATATCCAATCTAAACTTCCCCTGTTTAAGTTTTAACCCATTACCTGTCCTGTCACTACAGTCCCTAATAAAGAGTCCCTCCCCAGCATCCTTGTAGGCCCCCTTCAGATAATCTCCCCTCATTGGCTGCCCTTCCTCTCCCCTCATGATTTCCCCTCATGGCTGCCCCTCCTCTCCTGTCATGATCTACCCTCAAACCGTCCCTGTTCTCCCCTCATGATCTCCCCTCATGGCTAACCCTGCTCTCCCCTCACAATCTCCCCTCATGACGGCCCCACACCCCTCATGGCTGCCCCTTCTCTCTCCTCATGATTACCCCTCATAGCTGCCCCTCATTCCCCTCAGGATCTCCCCTCGTGGCAGTCCCTCCCCTCCCCTCATGGCCACCCCTTCTTTTCCCTCATGGTCTTCCCTCATGGCCACCCCTTCTCTCCCTTCATGATTTCTCCTCATGGCTGGTCCTTCTTTCATCTCACGATCTCCCCTCATGGCCAGTCTTTCTTTCACCTCATGATCTCCCCTCATGGCTGGCCCTCCTCTCCCCTCATGATCTTCAAACATATTATTTTAACATGTTATTATGTGACTAACTGAAAGGATTAAAACTCACTCTGCAGAATCCTTGAGTACAGTGGCAAATACTGCTGGCAGCAAACTTTGTGAAGACAATTAGAAAGGATCTGTAATTGCCTCCAGTCTAGTGTTATATCTACTTTTTCATGGCCCATCATCTGACTCACGGTTTCACAGACATTTAGTATTTGTTAGCTTTCAATGAAAACTCCTCATGGGCCAGTTTTTAACACAAAGACAGATCTGATGGCCTGCAGCTTTCTCTGAAGAAGCCACATTAAGCTGCATGGGGACATGACCTGGCACAGCTGGCTGCATCCCCACAACCTGTCATGGACCTTCCCACTCTCTGCCAGCAGCAGCATATTGCTGGCTCTGTATATTGCCCCCAAACATGGTGTATCTAATGTGGTTCAGTGTTTATTGTATCCAGCCCTGCTCTGTTCCCTGCCCTGGCTGTTCTGCTAGTGGCAACTGTGCACAGAGAGAGTATTTGCATCAAGTTAAAGACCTTGGGTTTATGTTTCTTATTAAAAAAGGTGATAGCCTTACACACCACCCCAAACAAGTCTGTGACCTGCCAACTCCTTGCTGTGTTTCAGGGTTGGAGTTGAAACTGGGATTCTCCAGATCCAAAGTAGAATGAATGTCTTCATGTTATCACATATCCAGTAAAAAGTTTTCAGCAAAAGAAATGACCAGCTGTCACTGGCATGCCATACTAATACAGATTTAATAAGCCAAGAAGAGAATAAACATGTGAGTGGCTTTTTGGTAGTCACACTTCAGTAAGGGTATACACTGTATGCACACTGTGAAAGGTAGGTCAGAGGTAAAACTCCGAATCAAAAAACTGCAGCAGCTGTGTTCTGTAATGACAACTCAGGCAACCTGATTTAAAGTATGTAACTGGTCTGAACTCTGACAGTGGCTCTTACTGTCTTCAGAGGGAGATCAGCATGGCAAGGACCTCAATTAGAGGCTCCAATTCAGTATGAAAGTATGGTGGGCTAAATAGGGTGGGCTGTCAGCAAGCAAATTTTATAACATCTTGAGGCTGACATCTAAACAAAGAAAGGACAAGCACATACCTGAGTGTAAGCAGTACTCTCATTCCCAAGTATTCATCCCAGGTACAAAGCACACAGAGGATAGGTGCTGAAAACCCAGTTCTACTGTTTTCAGGGGAAAAGATCAACTTCAAGCCAAAATTACATCCAAATTCTATCTGCTTGGGAATAACAGCAGACTCTATACATCTGCTAATGTCCCAGTCACAAAAGGGTAACAAAGAGTCTCACCATATGAGCCTAGGGTGTACTCAGTTTAGGAGATTATTGATGGTGACCCTCAAGGAAAATTAGATGCATATATACAAGGTGAGGTGAAATACTGAGTTTATGGACTGCATGTAGGTACTTTCTGAAGTTAGAAAACCAGATGTACTAAATATTCTAGAAAGACTTAAACTTCTGAAATGCTATCAGGACGTTAAAAAGGAAACACAACTGGTAAACAAATATATCAAGTGAGTCTGATTTTATTAAAGAAACATTAAGATGATTTTACAGGACTGAATTAAAATTCATATTGTGCATTTCAGGCTTCTACTAATATGGATAATTCATATTATTGAATATTGAATATTCAGCAATTTTATATATATATAATGATATTCAGTAACCCACAGTTCTTCATTTCTAGAGCTGCTGTCTATAGTAGAATCTATTACTGTGACTGATATTCAGCTAGAAGTTTTACTGTATGAAAATATGGGTTAAATATCTTGCCTTTTAAGAGAAATGTCTTCTGAAACCATGGATAGAAAAAGCCATATATTAAAGGATTACAGAAATAATTTAAATACCCAGAGCAGTTTAGAGCATCAAACAAAGGTAAAGGAGTAAAGAAATTTAAAAATGTATCAATTAAGATAGTGAAAAAACAAGGAAACCAGCATATTAAGAAACCCAGCATAACTATGCTCAAAGTCTTTGCAGCTTTCCTATCTTTATTCCCAGAAAGATCATTTGTCTTATTTTTTGTTTGTCTTTGTGCCTGGCTCAACTCACATGTGTGCCTTTGGGATACTGTTAGAATTTTAACATAAATCCCTATCATTATACAAGAAGGGGCAAGTAAACCAATTGTGAATAAAATAGTCCCCCACTGTTTGTTGAACATAATAGGACATGAGCTCGAGCATTTAACCAGCATTTCATAGCCCTCAATTCCAGAAGCATAAGCTTCTGAGAAAACCACACCAAAAGCAAAAGCCGCAGGCACTGACCAGCACACTACTAGGACTTGTTTTATGGTGATGACAGTCATGGTGCTGGTGTAATGCAGAGGATGGCAGATTGCATAAAACCGATCCACAGCAATGGAACAAAGACGGAAAATGGAAACTAAGCAGAGCATGAGGTTGAAACTGTAATGAACTTTGCAGAACATCATCCCAAAATACCACAGACCTCACCATGCTATAAGGCGTAATGGCAAAGCCCAGCAGGAAATCAGTGACAGCCATGGATAGGATGAGGAAATTGGCGGAGAATGGAGCTGCTAGAAATACGAGATAGAGACAACTATGGCCAGATTCCCTGAGATGGTGAGAATGAAGGCTGCTGTTATGTATAGATACATTACCCCTCATACTCCAGGTGACCTAAAGGTCTCAGAACAGGACCTATTTCCAAAGTCAGAGCAATGAGTTAAATTGCTTGAGTTATTTGAAGAAAGCATAATCAATCCTTTATTAAACTTTTCTATTGGAGATGATGTTCCATAGGCAAATTTATTTTCACAAGTTTCTGTAAGATTCCAAATCCTAACATGAGAATACAATATAAAGTAAGTCAAGAGCATGAATTCAATTACTAAGCAAAATGCAGTAATTCAAATGCAATTTTTTTCTTGTCTTAATGAATAAATTAATGAGTATTTTCAAGGGGCAATATATTTCCTTCATTTATCTGAGGAGAGCCATACCCATTTCTTCTACCTCTTTTCCTGATAGCTTGTTTTAGACTAAGAGCAAATTTAGAAACAGAATCAGAAAAAGATACTCTTCTCCACAGCAATTTAGCCTACTTAAAAGGAACTTGGGAAGCAGCTTGGTCCATGGAATTTTTCCAATAGGTATCACCCTGGAATTAAGAAAATACAGAAACAGAGCATCGAAAGATCGAAAAGAGTGCTTGGCATTCAGTTTTATAGGATAATCCTACCTGCATCTCTTTTAACAATACCATCAATAAATTCTTTAAGTAGATGTTTTCCTGTTTTGTTATTTTCCTGCAAAACTGCAATGTCAGTAAAAGGCAGACCATCTCTGTAATTTGGCTCAGATCAATGAAAGGTGGGAATTTATTTTTCTTTCATGACATTACATTTAATTCCCAGGAGATTTTGAGTTAAAAATATGTACAGAATTTAGGGCTTTACATCAACAGGAGATAAACAAAGACAAGCGTCTGATTCCAAAGACCACTATTTTTGTCTGCTTTACTAACTCATTTACTCAATGTATAGAGGAGTTATATTGATGAATTAAGGTAGATACAAGTTATACTGAAATGAATGTTTGAAAGGAGAGGCTAAGGATGAAGGTGAAGGAAAGATATTCTGGCTTCTATTTATCTTAGTAGCCATTACATTCTTTCACATTTTTTGGTAATTACAATTTCTAGTGAAACTTAGAAATGAAATATTTACTAACCTTGAAGGTTACCATCTTGTAATTTAACAGGCTGCAATGGAACTTTCCCTCATGCTGACTGCATCTGTAGCTTTCACATGATGTACAGAAAGTCTTCCCCATCTGTTAGCGGCGAGGAGAAGCAAGACACGCCAACCCAATATGGGTGATAAGCAAGCTTCTACTTTATTCGTGGCGCACATTGCTTATATCTGTGTGGTGTTAGCCATGTCTACTAGTCACAACAGTATTGGTTAGTTTTACACGGCTTCCTTTACATTCTCCTCCCACATCCGGTTTCCGGTTACCTGTGAGGCCTACACTTTGCTTTGCTCGCACAAGGCCTCTAAGGATCCATGGTCTTGCTCTTGGAGCCATTCTGCAACACCCATCCATTGCAGAAACAGATAAAATGAAGTGTTAATTCAGGTCAGTCTATCATCTGTTATTGGACAATCCATTATTTATAAAGAAATAAAAAATAGTACAGGTAGTATTTATTTGCTACAAGAAAAGACAAAATTAATTCATAGTTAATGTGAGTAAGTGGAGTCCTCTGAGGTTAGAGGTGGATGTTCAGATTTAATGCTGAGGCTTTTGCAGGTGGATTGAAGATGTATTACAAATTCAAAGGTAAATGACTGCTGTTCAGCACAGGCAGGATTTTTATCTGTGATATATAGTGTGTAATGAGAACAGGGCAGAAAATAAACATGTCTTTTAAAATTAATTAAGGGAAAATTAAGAACGCCTAAAGGAGTCTACCTTTATGGTAGCTGCTTTGAAGACAAAAAAGGAAAATTTCTCTTGGAAATAAAACACAGATCTCTGGGATTATCTACAAGAGAATCATTTGCAGACTCCTAAAATAGTAAAATTTTGTCACTGTGTACAGCAGAACTACTTTATCTTTGAGATCTGACAGTATTTTTGAGACAGGCATGTGTAGTAACTTTATTTTTAAGTAATCAAGTGGAAGATATGCAAGTTTTACACAAATGATCCTTTACTGAAAGAAGTAACTAAAACATTAATTGTTGCAGAAAAATAAGAATAAAAAAATAATCTGTGGAAAGAGGCTATAGTTGGAAAAATATTACCTTCAGAAAGCAGTGTTCCATGTGCCTCACCATTGATCCTCTTTTCAGGATGGACAGAAGACCGTGATGGGAGAACAATTTGACACTTCACCTTTCCGAAATGAAATGCCTAAAACCTGCTAAGAAATGTACAGGAACTGAAACCTTTTCAAAAGAAACTGTTTAACTGGGTTAAAGCAAGACTACAGAAAGGTTCTTAGAAATTGTCCTTGAGAACTGGTCATGTGAAGCACTGCTGTACTGCAAAGGCAGCATGGAGGGAAAATTTTTGTAGCTATCACTTTCTCTGGTAAAGCAGTTGAGTTTTGTTACAAATGAGTTAAGCCTATGAGTTTCCTACATGTTGTACCTCATAATTTCCATGCTGTTCTTAATTATTGATTGGTGAGAAATATTTGGTTAATTACTAACTGCTCTTATTCCTCTGGGAAGTCTTCAGCAAAGCAGAAATCACAGCAATAGAGAACAAAATGCAAGCTCAAATTTTCTCAATAAATGTTTTCTCCTGATGGTAACTGAGAAAGTATGAAGGGTTTAGGATGCACTTTGTTCTCAGTGATCTCTCTTTAACCAATGGGTATCTTCTAGTCAATATGTGGTGAGTACTCAGTGTTAAAGGAGATTGACTTTTCCTATACCTATGGGCAATAAGAAGTTGAGACACCTAGGAGTGGGTGGTAGAGCTCCCACTGCCTAAGTTACCCATGGATCTGTTCTCGTAGGAAATGATTTGTTTTACGTAGGCTGTTGCACAGTTATCACACAGAAATATTTTCAATTTCTCATGCATGGCAGCATGAAGGTGAAAAAATTGTGTTAAAACCCCTACAAAGTAGGAAATCACACTTAATTGGAAAAATCTGGTTATTATGCAAGACTCAGCAAATATTATGAGAATTAAATTTCACAAAATCACAGAATCGCAGAGTGGTTAGGTTGGAAGAGTGCACTCTGCCCCATCATCCAGATCATTAATGAAGATGTTGAACAGGATTGAACCCACTGTTAACCCCTGGGGTACACCACTAGCTGCTGAATTCCAACTAGTCTTTGTGTCAATGATCACCATACTCTGGGCCTGCCTGTTCAGCCAATTATAAATCCACTTCACTGTCTGCTAATGCAGCCTATACTTCATTACCTTTTTTACGAGGATCTAATGGGGGCCAGTGCGAAAAGTCCTGCTGAAGTTTAGGTAGACAGTATACACTGCTCTTTTCTTGTCTACAAGGCCAGTAATTTCATCATAGGATTTTATAAAATTAGGCTATGTTTAATGGAAACAGACTAGTAAAAAAAGTGCTTACATATGCTGTAGGCATAATCTTTTTCTGAATTAGATGCAGTAGTGTGAAAGTAGTGTTATAGATAACAAAGATGATCAGAAAAACAGAAGTAAAAACTTGTAGAACACTAAGTATCTTATGTTTGACTGTATCTAGTATTTTTTTCCTTGTTGAATGAGTATTAATGCATTGCAGATGACAGAGATTGTGCAGTGTCGACAACGAGCCGAAGTTAATGATTTAAGGAAAGCCATATGCTTCGTAATATTTACAGTTTGACAGCCCATTCTTTTCTGTTTGAACAATGCACTAATGTATTTATTTTATTGAGCAGTTTAAATCACCCCATTTTAGAGCAAGGGTTTCCTTGTGAGGCATCTGGAAGGGTCCTTCTTGGAGAATTGGTGCTCCTTCTCATCCCCCATGCTGCTGCATCTGAGAGAGACCCAGCTGCAGGTAGGACCACCGTGCATAAGGCCATACAAGGTGGCAGCCTACAGACTGCAGTACTGTGTTGCAATCACAAAAATACAAGCTACAGGCACTGAGGCGGAGGAACAGGCGCCAGTCCATGACTCTGAAGTTTACTGTCAGTTTTGAGCGAAGTATGAGAGGAAGGTGACATTGCAAATTGTGCTCACCAGTGGCAAAATGAACAGACATAGGTTTACTGGTGAAACAGCCTTTCATCATGCTGGAGTAATTGCTTTACACAAGTTTTTAGGGAAGTTAAAACATATGAAATCACTCACTGGAGACTCATTTGTTTTGCAAACGGTGGCCATCTGGGAAGTGTTTAATAAGGTCACTAATTAAATGTGTTGATAAGGAATTTAACAATACCCTTTGCACTTCATTTCATGATGACAGTTTGAGATTGCAGTAAGGTACATCCTGATTCACCAGACCTAACTCAGAATATGATCAGACAACAGCATGAGGCATGTTTTCTTGTGCTCTCCTAATTTATCAAAGTCTTGGGTTCAAATAGAGTCCCTGCAGCCTCATTAACACATCTCATTTGTACATTCCCCTCACAGCAAAAAATAGCTTTGCCCTGCCTGCACTTACAGCTAATGAGAGAATGTAACCTGGGACTTCATTAAAGTTGCTCTGCTAGAGAAGGCACTCTCTAAACTGAAGGCAAGGAGGCTGTCTGGGGAAGTGCCACTTTTCGTTAATAGGACACCAGAGGAAAAAGTTCCTTCTGAAAATTTCTGAGTTATGCCATGCACGTAGCTGACTTATAATGTAGGTTATTAAGATTAAGGAAAACTGTCTTCTGTGTGTAAATGAAGGTCACCAGCAGTCTGTGTGTGGAAGCCTCTTGTTATTTCTGCAGAGAATAAATGTTGGTGACATCTTGGCTAGATTTTCTTGCAGGACATTTGTTGGTCTATACACTGCAAATTTCTTCTTCCACAAGAATTTGTCGTATAGAATTCTACAATTTATTTTCCTTTACACTACACTGACAAAAAAAACTTTTCTGCCCTTTTGCTGCCAAGATATAATGGAAGAGCCTGAATATTTACCTGCTGTATAAGCAAATTTCTTTTCTAGCTGTGTCTAGATTATTTCAGTGCTAGTAGTTTAGCATTGTTATGTGTATTTATTACTGGTTTTAGCTAAAGCACAAACATGGAGAGAAACATTTTCTGAACATCGGTTTAGTCTACATCCGAGGAAACAAATATTGCTGTCCTCTTGTGTATATAATAGCATGTCCCTTCTGCAAGTCTGTCCTCTTACAAAAGTTTTTAATGAAAGTTATTTCAGCATTTGGCAGCAATATTCATCGTTGAAAATCTGGTTTTCCTTTAATTACAGAAAAATAATATTATTGTGAAAAATAAAGACCATTAGCATAGTAATAGTAAAATTATTGTTATGGTTTAAAATAGTTGTCTAAGTCAGAAAAATACTGACATTGCAATTCAGCCAGTACTAATGTATCCTATTTGCTTCAGGTCTTTGTGGCCTCTGATTACTCTGGACAGAACACAACAGCATAATTAATTTTTTGCTATATTGAAACAAATGTTATTACAATCACACCATGCCATTAGAAGCTAAATGGAAGCTGAATGTACATCAGCTGTATCTTGCAAAACCCTGACAGCTACCTCTTAATAGCCTGTGATATAAAGAAGGATTTTCAAGTAGTGTCAGGCAGTGGAACCTGAGTGCGAGGGACAGGGTTCATCTAGAGGCACTCTCAGGAGTACAGGACACATGGAATCCGAGTATATTTACTTAGTGTTTGAGTTGCCTTTTGCTTCCCCTTTTTTCTGTACACTAAGGTTTAACACCATCTCTGTTCTTTTTCACCTCACTTTATCATTTCATATACCTTTTCCTTCACTTTTGGTTAGTATCTTCATGTTTCTTTTCCTGACTGTCGTTTCTTCTTTCAATATTGTTAAACAGTCTATGAAGCCAACCAGGAAAGAATTAAGGTGCTATCTCTAGTTTTCTTTTAGATTTAAAATATTAGTAACCTTTTCTGTATTGTTCTTTGACAGAGAAAATGTTTAGCCTAAAGAAATAGTCTCCTATGGAAACTTTTTTATGAAAAAAATTCTTGCTTTCAGGGAATATTTTGGTTGTAGAACAGAAAGAAGACTCCGACCAAAAGACTGAGCAAACTGAGATCAAGTACACAATTTTGCTTGAAATAGAAACAAAATAAATCAAAACTCAAGTGGCAAACTCTTCAAATGAGATGAACACTGAAGAATTTTTCAGCAAAAAACAGAACACTTCCATATTTAATTACAAAGTTTAAAATTTAATAAAATGGAAATATGAAGAAGCATATTTTTAAAAACTTTTCCTCCTACCTTTCTCCCTTCATGCTGGATAGAAGTCTACTTTTGTCACTCGTTTGTTTTCACCTAATTGAATGGGGTTCCTTCCTTTTAAAAACCCTCTCAAAAGACAGCTGTGCATCTTCACCATCTTAGCAATTCTGGGTAACACAAATTTTGTCAGAACAGGCACATAATCCACAACTGGAGTGGCTTCCAGAAACCCAAGGCTCATTGCTGGAGGATGCTGGGTGCAATGAATAGTGTTCTTGGCCCCTTGTCTCAGGAGCAGCTGTTAAAGTAGCTCAAACTGGTCATTTTGCTACCTACTTCAGAACAAAATCATGGCTGTGGCACTCATATTTGTTTAACCAGCCTTATTTATAGGTAAATTATACTCATTTGAAGTATGTTTACTTTCTTGATTAAATATTGTGGTCACATTGTGAGCAGCCCAAGTTTATCTAGGTGCAAAACAAAACCTGCCATGTAGTCTAAAGGGAGATTTCTAAAGTAAGCTTCTAAAATACAGCAAAATATGTAAGTATACGTAGGTTACAGCAGCATATAATACTTCCTTGACAAGGTATATTGTGTACAGAGTAACATGATGTGTATTTACCAGCCTAGTTCTGATTACTGAAGAAACAGGTTTAATCTAATAGTCTAATCAGTTAACAGCCATTTTCAAGATACAGCTGCTAAAAATGCATTTCAGGAGCATCAATATTTTTGCTCTACAAAGGACCATGCAATCTTTCAAAACAGCGATACTACTGAACATAAAACACTAGGCTGTTTATATGGTGACCATCAGCTAAAGTCCAGTTATGTGGAGTACCTCAGGGACATATGCAACAAGGTAGAGTAAGATACTACTTCTTGCGAACTTATTTGTTTTTTAAACATAAAATAATTAAAATGGAAAACAGCATAGAAGGGAATGGAAATAGCACTTTTGCCAACACCAAACTCATTTGAACTATGTGTTAAGTAATGATTCTGTCCTATGGAAAGTGACAAAACAGGGTTTGGAAATGAAAACTGTTAATATGAAAAAAATAAATGGCAGGACAGCATTGATTTCTATTGCAATCCTTTTGGCTTGCATTTCTAATCTGGTCATTTGGTAGAAAATATCATTTTACAGTGTCCATTAGACAGAGAAAGTTTCTCATTTTGATATGGTTCATTTTAAAAACTGGGTCTCTGTGAGTGGAACCGTGGTTTCAAAACTGCTGGAGGCTCCAAGGTGGCCTCATGGTTGGAGAGTAATTTTGAAAGCATATAACTCCACTCAACATCTATGCAGTCATCAGGACAAAAAAGCACAGCATTACAAAAAATTAACTTCTCAAGTTTCCATTCAGACGTTTGAAATCTGAGGGAAAACGCACGGATTCCAAAGGAGGGACTAATTAAAAATAATTATCTCATTATATGGGCTAAATGAGAAGGTGGAATGAGAGATTCCAAGAAAATGGTTTTGCAGCAAGCAAAACCCATCCATCCAAAACCAAGAAACAGTCTCTGCATGGGGTGGGGAGGTAGAGTGTATGTGGGGTGGGTTACGTATGTGATAGCCCTTGCAAGTAATACCATAACACAGTCCATTACTTCTGCTTAATAGCAAAGGCTGCTCCAGCAGACAGCTGTGCCAGGGTTCCCTG